TCTTTCCATGAAATCATGAAGCGGAGCACCGCCCCAATCTGACCGTCTATTGAGCTTAGTGCAATTAGTGAAATCATCCCCCTAACCCCAGCCATGTCACGAATTGCAGGTCGTTTTCCAGAACAAAGAGGGAACAGCAGCATTTACCAGGTGAGTTCAAGCGTTGTCAATCCATTGGCCACATGCAACAATCTGCAATTACCCCCGTACAGCACATCAGCCTGGAGCTGACCTGTGCTACATCTTGGGGACCATGCTTCGTAGTTTCATCTGAATGCTAAAGGGGTCAAAGTATCTGTGGGGACAGAGTAAACCACACCATACCTGGTTTGCAACAGGGATCATACCAACTCTGAACCAACAGGCCATGTTCTGCAGGCAGAATGGCCATTTTCTTTCAAATAGCTGAAATAACAACTCCCTCAGCCTGAACATCCAGACAAGCCACTTCAGCAGGTGAAGGAACAGGAGGAGATAAAAATGTTTTTCTCCATTGCAATAAGATAAACCTTGCAAGGAATGTTTGGGGGATAGGTGCTTCGGGACATGGGTTAGTGGGTTGGGTGGTGTTGGGTTGATGGTTGGACTTGATGATCCTTGAGGTCTTTTCCAGCCTGAATGATTCCGTGATCTATGATTTATGGTCAGCCCGTGGCGACCATACTGAGACAGAGGAGTAATGGACAAGAAGAGCAAGCTGCCACTTGGACAGCCCTGATTTGGGAACGTGGAAGATCAAGGCATGGAAGTCCTGGAAACACCGACTCTGTGTCGAGCCATGCCTCCTCCCCGATCCCACGGGATAGCCTGATGGGAACCCATTAGCACAGAGCCATGATGCCTTCATAAATCTCCCTAAGAACTAAGACTTTGTGGAGGCGGAGTAATCGATAATGAGTAATTTTTCATTTATGCCTAAATTATAAATGCACTTGATCTGAGCGATGCACAGATAACCTGCAGCACCCCATGAATAACTACGCTTGCCAACTTTTTTCGTGCCTTTGATTTAAAAATGCTAATTAAAACTCAGCAGCAGCAACTAAGCTAAATAAATTTGGCAACTATTGTTGCAAACACACAGCTCGTTTGTGTTATTTATTTACTCAAGATTACAAGCTAAGAGAAATGGTAACAAATAATTCCTTTCCCCACAGCAGCTAATATATACTAATTATAACCTGACTGTCTCAAATGCTGGGGAACCGCAAGTCCCAATTATAGGAGGGAAGATTAAGACTATTAGCAACGATGAAAACCATGGTCATAAAGGAACTGGTGCATGAATCAAATCTTGGTGGTACATATAGATAATAAATAAAAAGGATGGAACACACAGCAAAAAATAGATTTTCAAAGTGGCACATAACAATGACTTTAGACTCTTCTCGTTAATTAATTATAGACCATGCACAACGACCCTCAGTTTTGTCTTTGGCCATCATTCTCCTTTGTGAATAATTAATTGATTTTTCAATATTTCCTGTAATAAAATACGTAGGCTATATTCTTCTCCTGAGGAATGAACGTCAGCAGATACACTTTGGAATTATTAGATGTACAGCTAAAGTTTTTCCAGCCATGTACAAAAAATGATATCAACACAAGCAACTTACAAGTGACATTTATATGGAGAAATGTAATGACTTTATATGCTGATAAGGACGACACTAATAGGTAAACATTTTTCCAGCAAACTTCTGCTAACACTGATAACATAAAGCCTGATTATCACTCCCTTTTATCTACCTGCAGGCAGCGTTTGAAGTCCACGCGCGCACGCACAGCCTCTGTTTTGCAGCAGTTAATTGGGAGTGGTGCCTGCGGATCAAAGCGTACACGGACGGCCCGGATGGCCTGAGCGGCACAGGCAGGTCACCTCGCCAGACTGGCAGTGCCACCTTCCTTCTAGCTATAAAATACAACACTTTAGTCGGTGCTGGGTTGGTATTGGAACCGCTGTTAACTTCTTTGTTGGTGACATGGAGAGCGGGATGGAGTGCACCCTCAGCAAGTTTGCTGGTGACACCGGGGTGCGGTTGGCACGCCTGAAGGATAGCATGCCATCCAGAGGAATTTGGACAAGCTGCAGAAGTGGGCCCATGTGAACTTCATGACATTCAACAAGGGCAAATGCAAGGTCCTGCACGTGGGTCGGGGCAACCCCCAGCACAGACACAGGCTGGGAGGAGAATGGATGGAGAGCAGCCCTGGGGAGAAGACTTGGGAGTGTTGGTGGATGAGAAGCTCAACATGAGCCGGCAGTGTGCGCTGGCAGCCCAGAAACCAACCGTGTCCTGGGGCATCACCCCAGCTCTGGGTTCCTCAGCACGGGACAGACACGGAGCTGCTGGAGCGGGGCCAGAGGAGCCACGGAGATGGTTCGAGGCTGGAGCAGCTCCCGTGCGAGGACAGGCTGAGAGAGTTGGGGGGGTGCAGCCTGGAGAAGGGAAGGATCCGGGGAGGCCTTC